CTCTCTTTACCCTCAAGTAGGCCCTGATGCCTATTGCTTCCTTCTTTGCATCCATAAGTACTCAATGTTTAGGTCCCCCTTATCAGTGAGATTTGGTAATTGGTTCTTTGTTGCTATGCTTGTTCTCTTAGGATAAAAGCCTCCAGCTTTATCCATGCTGCTGCAAAGGACATGATCTAATGTTTTATGGCCGTGAAGTATTCCATGATGTATTTACACCACATATTACTTATCCAGTCTACTGTTGACGAGCATTTAGGTTGATTCCATCCATGTCTTTGCTACTATGAATAGTGCTGTGATGAACATATGGTGGGATGTGTCTTTATGGCAGAACAATTTATATTCTTTTGGTTACATATTCTGTAATGAGATGGTTGGACCGATTGATAATTCTGCTTTAGTTTTTTGAGAAATCGCCAAACTGCTTTCCACAATGACTGGACTAATTTGCATTCCCACCAACAGTGTCTAAGTGTTCCCTCTCCGCTACAAGCTTGCCAGCATGTTATTTTTGACCTTTTAATAATAGCCCTGACTGGGTGAGATAGTATCTCACCGTGGATTTCATTTGCAGTTCTCTAATGATTAGCAATATTGAGCATTTTTTCATATGCTTGTGGGCCATATATGAAAAGCGTTTTTTGAAAAGTGTCTGTTCAAGTTCTTTGTCCATTTTTTAATAGGGTTGAATGGTTTTGCTTGCTGATTTAAGTTCTTTGTAGATTCTGGATATTTTACCTTAGTTGAATGCATAGTTTGCAAATATTTTCTCTCATTCTGTAGGTTGTCTGTTCACTCTGTTGTTAGTTGCTTTTGCTGTGCAGAAGTTCTTTAGTTTTAAGTCCATTTGTCCACTTACAGTTTTGTTGCAGTTTCTTTTGGTATCTTCGTCATGAAATCTTTGCCAGATCCTACGTCTAGAATGGTATTTCCTAGGGTATCTTCCAGGTTTTTTTTTTTTTTTTTTTTTTTTGAGACGGAGTTTCACTCTTGTTACGCAGGCTGGAGTGCAATGGCACGATCTCGGCTCACCGCAACCTCCGCCTCCTGGGTTCAGGCAAATCTCCTGCCTCAGCCTCCTGAGTAGCTGGGATTACAGGCACGCGCCACCATGCCCAGCTAATTTTTTTTTTGTATTTTTAGTAGAGATGGGGTTTCACCATGTTGACCAGGATGGTCTCGATCTCTTGACCTTGTGATCCACCCGCCTCGGCCTCCCAAAGTGCTGGGATTACAGGCTTGAGCCACCGCACCTGGCCCCTCAGGGTTTTTTTAGTTTTAGATTTTACACTTAAGTCTTGAATCTGCCTTGAGTTGACTTTGTACCTGGTGTAAGGAAGGGGCCCAGTTTCAATCTTCTGCATATGGCTAGTCAGTTATCCCAGCATCATTAAACTATGCTACAAGTAGGTTTGTAGTATAGTTTAAAGTCAGGTAACGTGATTCCTCCAGCTTTTTCTCTTTGCATAAGATTACCTTGGCTATTTCATTTTTGGTGCCGTATGAATTTTAAAATAGTTTCCTCTAATTCTGTCAAGAATATCACTGATTGTTCGATAGGAACAGCGTTGAATCTGTAAATTGCTTTGGGCAGTATGGCCATTTTAACAATATTAATTCTTTGTTTCTATGATGTTTCCTTTATTTTTGTTTGACTGAGTTAGTTTGGGGAGCCAGTTTTTGAGCTCTGAGATTCTTTCTTCAGCTTGGCCTATTCTGCTGTTAATAATTGTGATTGCATGTTGAAATTCCTGTGGTGTGTTTTTCAGCTCTGTCAAGTCACTTTGGTTATTTTCTTTTAATTGTCATTCTGTCTTGAAGTTCCTGTATTGTTTTATTGTAAACCTTAGAGTCCTTGGGGTGGGATTCAGTTTTCTCCTGAGTCTCAATGATCTTCCTTCCTATCCATATTCTGAGTTTTGTTGCTGTCATTTCAGTAATTTCGGCCTGGTTGAGAACCCTTGCTGCGGAACTAGTGTGGTTATTTGGAAGAAAGAAGCCAGTCTGGCTTTCCGAGTGGCCAGAGATCCTGCATTGATTCTTTCTCATCTGTGTGGGTTGATGTTCCCTCAACTGTGGTGTAATTTGAGTACAGTCAGTTGATTTCTTTCCTGGATGTTTGCAGAGGACCAAGTGTTTGTTCTGGGTCATTATTTGTGGCTGAATGCATGTCTCTGGGTTCACAGGGGGGTTATATTAGCAAAGTGTTTTTGGTGTTGAAGGTTTGGGCTTCAGCAGTACATGGTGCTTAAGCATAATAGCCAGTAGTTAGGCTCTTGCTCAGCCACATGGCTCCTCTGTATTTCCTCATGATTGCAGCTGTGCTCCCTCTCAGTGCTCGGAAACTGTGGGCTCCTCTCTCATTGAGTGCTGGCTGCAGATCTCAGCTTGGCACTCCTGGGCTGCTCACCATAGCCTCGGAGCAAGCTCAGGCTTTATGTTCCTTCTGCAGCTTAGAGGCAGCAGGGGAAGGGAACTTGGTGGTGGCTGTGGCAGGGCGCTGTTCACTGGTCTCTTGGAACTCCACCCCAGAGAAATGCAGAGCCACTACCAATCGGTGCAATCAGCCCAGGGTTAGGTGTTTGTATTGTGAACCCAAGCCAAGAACCTGCGTGGTGATGAGCAGGGGTAGCAGGGGCTGTGGCAGGGACAAACTGGCTACTTCTCCTTAGGGTGGCTGCAGCTTGCTGGAGGTATAGTTAAAGCACTCAGAGTCTTTGCTGCTTCCCTAGTCCAAGGGCAGCAAGGGCAGCAAGGGCAGCAAGGGCAGCACCATTGCAGCAGCTGTGGCAGAGGGGCTTTCGATTGCCTCTGGAGCTCCACCTTAGAGAAATGCAAAGCTGCTGCCACTGGGAACGTTCAGCCAGGGGATGGGGCCACTTCACTGCTGGTCTGAGCTGGGGGTCCCTGCTTGGTGAAGAGCCGGCCCTGATTCTGAAGCGTCATAGATCACAGATGATCTGCAGACTGACCAGGCGGCAAAGACAGACTATATTTCTAGGGACTTGAGTTTCTCAGAAACAAAAGAGGAAGGAACTGCTTTTATTTTGATTGAATTTACATTAACATCAATCTTTTTTAAACACATTGCCTTCTACTGTCACCAACAGAAATACGGAGAAAGAAAAAGGAATTGCATGGTCTCAGAAGCATACTGCTTAAAGGGAGTTTATTTACCAACATGGGAAATGAGAAAATATTAGCAGAGAGGGCACAATGAGTCTTTCTCCTTCCTGTTGCTCCACCTACGGTGGGAGACCTCAACATGATCTTTCTTCTTCTTTCACAATTCTCTTTCTCTCCCGAAATATTATGTGCAGCACCAAAGCTCTGAGAGTGTAGACAACAGTGGAGTGGGTCAAGGGGACTGCCCTTCCTGAAATTTTTAATGGTAGAGAACAGATGTGCTAGAAAATCTGGGAGTTTTGACACACCAATTAGTTCTCAGAGGAAACATTCTGAGACTCTCGGCTTATGACATGGCAATCCTGTATGAATGTGGTGACTTTTATTTTAGATGGTCAATTCCCTTTACTCTGTTCAATGGCCAAAAACTGAAGCCTTAGTTTCACTCAACTTCTTGGAAGATGGCTGTCATTGTTCACAAAGAGGACAGGAGGGTAATCCAAACAGTTTCACTTCGATTGCTTAACAACTGTTAGAGTAAATGTATCATCACTTCTAAGAAAAAAAAATTTCTAAGAATATTGAGATAGTTGACTGAGTCGTGCTGTCTTCGGAGGTGAAGATGAACACATCTTTAGTTACGCAAATAAGGCAAGAATGCCAGTTACCCAATGGCTGTGAGAACAGTGAGCCAGCACTGGTAATTTAAGGGATGCCCTTTCAGAATGTGATCTTTACATTAGTGAATCATTCCAGTGCTCTTTGATTCTAGGAAAAGGTGGTTCAGGATATGTGCCTAAATGATCAATGCATTATGAATAATAAAGAGTGTAGGCAATATTCCTTTTTTTCTTGTTTAAACCCTGAGTCAGCTGTTCTAATTAGGTAAGTGGTCTTGAACTTACTATATGACTACATCTTTTTCTTTCCTTGAGGGTTTTGAATCAGGTCGTAGGTTTAGCAGTTATATTTTACTTGAATTTCTCACAAACTTTGAGCAGACACTAGTTGTCTGAGGCACTGCTTCCTCTTTCACATATTGAGAAATGCCTAAACACCTGTGATATTCTTGTCCAGAGACCACATCCACTTTCACAACACTATGTTGAAGAGGATTCTTGAAAAATTATTCTAAAGTCAGACATGCTTAGAATTGGGAACAAAAATATGTACTTGGTTTGATTTATAAATTATGTCATAAGGACACAAAGTAGTGATTTAGAGAACTGATGTAGGTTATCAAGATGAATTCCTCTCAGGAAAAGTTTGCATTATATTTTAGGCTCTGGAGCGAAATAGTTGAAATATCAGAAGGGTTATTTTGAAATAACTGGATAAAATAGCGGAAGTGGAAAACATGCATTCAGGGGCTCTTTAGATGAGAGAAATCCCAGGAATTCAGTTCCTCAAGGACAAATTACACACAGAGAGAAAGAGAGAGAGAGAGAGAGAGAGAGAGAGAGAGAGAGAGAGAGAGAGAGAAATTGATAGGTGGGTATATGGATGGATGAATGGATAAATTCATGGATTTTAAGAATATAATACATGTTCTAAGTAGAAAAAAAAATAACATTTTTCAAATGTCTGGGACACTGTGCCAACCATTGTGTCTTACATTATTTCTAGTCATTAAAGTCACTCAGTGAGTTGTGAAGTTTTATTAATATTTTACATAAAATTCCTCCAGAGTCTTAGAGATGTGAAGTGATTTACGTGAGACAACACAGCTCGTGTGAGGCAGAATTTAAATTTGAATTAGACGTATCTGGCTCTAAAGCCCAGTTTCTTTCAAGTATGTCATGCATCACGGTTTTGGTATTTTGTTGAATGAAGAATAATTTTCGCTGAATTTTTTGTGTTTTGTTTAATAGCTCACAATTTATGTCCAGCCGGAGCAAAAGCACACAGCAGAATATGCCGCAAACATAACTAAAAGTGTGTTTGATTATTTTGAAAAATACTTCGGTATGAATTATTCTCTTCCTAAATTAGGTGAGAATCATTTTAAAAATTGTCTTATTTTTAATATTATCTTTGTTAATATTTTCTAAGTTAATTCATTTCTTCTAATTATGTCACCATTAGTTAACAGTCATCCTTAAGTCCTTTTATTTTATGCCTACAATATCTTGGGCTCAAGTAAGTCACCTGCCTCAGCCTCCAAAACTGCTAGGATTACAGGCATGAGCAACCATGCCTGGCCTGTACTCTGTTCTTATCTGATAAATATATAGTCTTGTGTTTCCAACTAAAGATGAAAGTATGTGCACAAAATTGCAGAGCTTGGTAGTGATAGAGCCACAAAAAGCAACCTAGATCAGTTGATTTCAAAATCAGTATCCATCCCAGTACTTGTTCTGCCTCCCTATCATCAATGAGTTAAAAAAATAATAGGGATAGATGATATTTTAAGAGTCCCATGTGCTTTGAGTCTTTCCATTGTTGTACAAAGCCAATTCTAGATTCCCTAGCAGTTTAATGAAATACTGGTGCTCTTGCAATATTTTTCTAATACAGAGGGAGACATGCATTATTTTTAAAGTTAAAGTGGGGCTACAACCAAAATGTTGGTCATATGACATTTCATTTTTTTTTTTTTTTTTTTTTCTGAGACGGAGTTCGCTCTTGTTACCCAGGTTGGAGTGCAATGGTGCGATCTCGGCTCACCGCAACCTCTGCCTCCTGGGTTCAGGCAATTCTCCTGCCTGAGCCTCCTCAGTAGCTGGAACTACAGGCACATACCACCATGCCCAGCTAATTTTTGTATTTTTAGTAGAGACGGGGTTTCACCATGTTGACCAGGATGGTCTCGATCTCTTGACCTTGTGATCCACCTGCCTCAGCCTCCCAAAGTGCTGGGATTACAGGCTTGAGCCACCGTGCCCGGCCGTATATGACATTTCTATCAACAGCAGAAATGCTTTATTAATAAGCTTGAGAGTTACTAGCAATGACTTTAAATATAAAACCCATATAGATGTTTGTAGGGATGAAATGAAGGCAGTAAGAAAACAAATTAACCAACAGTTGGCCTTCCTGTTTCTGTTTCTGCCTTTAATAAATTATCAGTGCAAACAAGGGGAATGCCAAATTCTCTGCATGGGAATGGCTATGGCTCTGCACGAGCTTGTAGATGCTGCATATCTCTTCAATGGATACAGTTCCTTTTTTTGATTGCTTAACAAATGTTAGTGAAGGAGCTAGAAAAAGAAAAAAGTTTTCATCAGAATCAGAATATTGGGCCAGGTGTGGTGGCTCATGCTTGTAATCCCAAAATTTTGGGAGGCCGAGGTGGGCAGATCACTTGAGCCCAGAGGCTCGAGACCAGGCAACATGACGAAACCCTGTCGCTACAAAAAATAAAAAAATTAGCCAAGTGTTTTTGCACAAACTTGTAATCTCAGCTACTCAGGAGGCTGAGGTGGGAGGATCGCTTGACCCCAGGAGGCTGAGGTTGCAGTGTGCCATGATTGTGTCACTGCAGTCTGGGTGGCAGAAGGAGACCTTATCTCAATTTTTTAAAAATCAGAATAATATTTAATGAAATATTATGCAAATGAACTTAATGATCTTTTGCCTTTGATCTCAGCTGTAACACCCCGCATAACTGGAGAAGTGGGAATCTCACAAATTTATTGCTGTCTTCTCCTCTGTTTCTCCTTCTCCCCAACTCCTTTATCCTGTTTTATGTGCATTTTCAACCTCTCAGAATTAATTATGTCTTAGACTCCTTAGAAGTGACTTCTGTATTTATTAGACTCCAAAGAGTTAAATGTACAAGAGTTAATTATAAGGCCAATGCTGACCCAAAAAAATGAGATTGCAAAAAATTCCTTTTGTTCAAGGATTACATGCAGTCTGCACTCCACCATATTATGAAAAATATTGGCCCTTGGGCGAGATACTTCTCTACCTTTTAAATGACAGTCTTGTGATAAAATAACCAAACGTAAAATGAAGATAGCATGAAGAGGAAACTACGAGTGCAATCTTTTTTTTTTTTTTTTTTGAGACGGAGTTTCGCTCTTGTTACCCAGGCTGGAGTGTAATGGCGCGATCTTGGCTCACCGCAACCTCCGCCTCCTGGGTTCAGGCAATTCTCCTGCCTCAGCCTCCTGAGTAGCTGGGATTACAGGCACGCACCACCATGCCCAGCTAAACGAGTGCAATCTTGACCTCTATTTAAGACACATCCCTCTTCATTCTTTTATAAAAAGCATTAAGAATATTTATTTTAACAAAAAAGAAAGGGCCCTCTCTTATACGTTAAGTAAAAAATCAATTTATTTTCATTTCTATGCCTCATTTAAATTATACATAATAATAAAGAAATTACATTTCATTTACAGTTCATTAACTGGGGAAACTGTATTTTGGCCACTAATCAACTGAGCATTTTCTGTCTTGGGATTTAACATACACCTGATCAACACTGCCTCCTTCTGTCAGATATTATATGTAAGATCACAGAAACTCCTATCCAACATTTTAAAACTGGAAGGGAATTTAGAGAGAATATAGTCAACTCCATGTTTCTCCAACTGATTTAATGCATATAAGCAATGGTAAGCTATTAGATTGGTAAGGAATCAAGTTGACATTAATTTTTATAGAATTAGAGAAAAATGGAGTTTTATATTCTCGAATATTCTGTATCTTTGGATGGAAATCTGTACACTTAGGAGCTCGAAACTTCTAAATACTAATTTGAAAACTTCATTCTCTTTTTCCTCACAGCTTATCCCCTAAAACAGATATAGCTAATAAAAATGAAATACAGAAACAAAAGACATAAAATTATAGCAGCATTGCCATTAGTGTTTTTCTTTAAAACCGAAACAAAACTTTCATATCTGGAGCCAACAGGAATGCTCCCTGGCAATTTTGAGTGCATTAGAACAGAAATGTTTGCACACATGATTACAATTTTCTTTAAGAAATTTTTTTTTTTTTTTAAATTCATCCAAATAGCTTAATTTGTTAAGAAATGCTATGAACAATGGAAAGAATGTATTTCTCACGGGACTCTTTCTTTTCCTACAGATAAAATAGCTATTCCAGATTTCGGCACTGGTGCTATGGAGAACTGGGGACTCATCACTTACAGAGAAACGAACCTGCTTTATGACCCTGAGGAATCAGCCTCATCAAACCAACAGAGGGTGGCCGCTGTGGTTGCCCATGAACTTGTGCATCAGGTATCGAATCTTAGCACTGAATCAGCTTGTTTTTTCAAAGAGGCTTGAGACCACAGGAATAATTCAAATTATTTATAACTTAGCAAATAAAAAATAGCCAACTCAGAAAAACTTGCGTGAAAATCTTTCTTAGTACTAATAAACATTTAGTCATAAAGAGATTTTGAAACATTGTTTTGCCTTTAGGAAATACACATGAGAATAAATTTATATATCCCCAGTAATAACTAAATAAGGGCAAAAAATTAAGGAAAATTTAATATCACTTAATCAGAATAAAGCAGGAAATAAATGTTAAGTACAATGCCTGCCACTTCTGTCACAGTGACAATATTAGCAAGGACAAATAAATGTTTTGACATTTTCTAGGCCTAGCTACCATAACCATAAGAATGTAATTACCTCTTTATTGCTTATAATTTCAGTGGTTTGGAAATATTGTGACCATGGACTGGTGGGAAGACTTGTGGCTAAATGAAGGATTTGCTTCATTCTTTGAGTTTCTGGGAGTAAACCATGCAGAAACAGACTGGCAAATGGTGAGCCCTCAGCATATAAACTCCAAATCTCTTTTCCTCATGCAAAGCAGATGGAAGCCTGTGAATTATGATAACCGTCCTGAGTCAGGTGGCAAGTACAGTGGTGAACTGGGAATTCCACTGTGAGGATAGGGTGAGGCCAGCTGACTTCCACTGACTACACCTTGCTTAGAGCCTTTGCCCAGTCCCTAGAAGGGTAGCTGATCATCAAAATTTGGGGATATCCTTGATAGAGTCACTGAAAAGCACATTATCAACGCAGAAAAAAAAAAAAATAGGTGGCATAGAAAATGTTAACTCTGTGTTCAAGAAAGTATCTATAGTACTAACCCTTTGAAAAAAATGTCAGAGTCTCATTTGTGAATGACTTACCTTTTTTCAGAGAGATTGCAGAAATAGTGTGATGAAGAGACAACATAAACTTAGTAGTTAGATTCAAGTTCAAGTCCTAAACACATCATTTCTTAGATGCATGACAGGAAATATAATCTTGAGCAAGTTACATCATAACTCAGAGTCCATTTTCTCCTCTGTGAAATAGAACGTTATTCTCTATCCTATAAGCTTAAAAGCTCCCAAATGTGCATGTAATGACTATTAACGTGCAGTGTGTCCCTCAGACGCCTGGAATAGAAACTTTTATGAACCCTAATTTTTTTTCCCCCCAGGAAAGCTAGGTATTCGTGGGAGTATTCTTATCTGATTGCATATATGAATGTGCAAATATGTGGATGTGTCTAATTACAAGAGGTTTTGTACTATGCAAAATACTGCCCTCTACTGGACAGAATAAAAACATTAAATACTTGAAGCCCTTAACAGTTTCCCTAGCCTACTTTACAAAGTGAAAAAGCGAATTTACAACAATTAATTCTTTAAAGATTTTATCTACATCTGGGTTTCTTCCACTATGGAACGATTGACATTTTGGACTGGATAATTCTTTTTTGTGGGGGACTGTCCTATGCATTATAGGATAGTTAGCATCCCCAACTCCTATTAACTAAATGCCAGTAATCTGCAAGCATCCGCTGTGACAAAAAATGTCTCCACATATTTCCAGATGTCCCGTGGGTAACAAAATTCTCCTCCCATTGAAAGCCACTCATTTACATGGAAAATTGCTGATTTTATAATTTACTGAAAATAAGCTGTATAAATGGAAAATTATGTCATCCTTTATTTTCTCCCTTAAAGTAAACTGAAACCCTTATACCAAACTGATATAAGAAATTATAACATTTTAATATTGTCTAATATTCCAAGTTCAGTGTTTTAAAAGCAGTGGCTAAATTCCAGAAGAATTTGCTGTACACTTCTTAAATGAAATTTAATCACATGGTTCAACACAATTAATTCATTCCTTCATCTATTAATTTATTCCTTTTTTTTTTTTTTTTTGAGTTGAAGTCTTGTTCTATTATCCAGGCTGGAGTGAGATCTTGGGTCAATGCAACCTCGCAACCTCCACCTCCTGGGTTCAAGCAGTTGTCCTGCCTCCTCCTGAGTAGCTGGGACTACAAGCCCTTGCCACCACTCCTGGCTAATTTTTATATTTTTAGTAGAAATGAGGTTTCTCCATGTTGACCAGGCTGATCTAGAACTCCTGACCTCAAGTGATCTGTCCTCCTTGGCCTCCCAAAATGCTAGGATTATAGGTGTGAGCCACCGCACCCAGCCCATTCAGTCATTCTTCATTCATCAAACATTATGGAGGACCCCAAAACAAATAACGAATAAAACACATTTCTTCCTCTTAAGGAGTTCTCAATTTAAGCACTTGTATATAGAAGGGTCAGATAAATAAAGATATTTTATAAGTGAGCTCAGTAAATACTACAATCACGGACCCTCCTTTCAATGGTGAAAAATCAGAAGGCCTGGAAAATAATATAACTTTCCAACATCACAGAGATAGCTAGTAGCAAAATCCAAAATCACACACACAGTTGGTATAGTCAACTTTCCTGAAACTGAGAAAAAGATTCTTTCTACTCACCATACCTAAACTTCCTAAGTCAACAAAAATCAAAATCTAAGTCAACAAAAATCAAAATCCAAGTCAAAATTATCTTGATTGGCAGTCGTCATTTAACGGTAGTACCTTTCCTGTTATAAATGCAATCTGCAGAATTGGAAAATGTAAGCTAATATAGCATACTCCTCTTTTGGAAATATTTTTAATTAAGTAGAGCCAATGAAATTTTTTAATTTTTTAAATTTACCAGAGTTAGATTTCAGACACTTAGTGCTTAAGAATCCAAATAACTATAGCAGCTCATGGGTTAGGTTCTCATTCTGTGCCAGCTACTATGCCAAGTACTAACCATAAATTTTATCATTGAATCCTGTGCACAGTTCCAAAAAGTAGAGACCATCATTACTTCTATTTAATGGGCAAGAAAACTTGCTAAAACTTACATATCTAGAATGTAGAAAGACTGAGCTTTGAACCAGGAAGTATGACAATACTGCTAGGATTGTCAACCACTCTATTCCTAACAAAGCCTAAGAGGGAAGCGAGAGGTGATTAGAACTGAAGGATAAGCTAATATTTTCTTTCTTTAATGATGAATCAACCAAATTTCAATAACAAGTTGATATTAAAAAAAAAAAAAACTGAACATCAATATTTGGCAAAATGACATGCTGCCTTACTTAATTCTCAGACCAAATCTGTGGGGTGATGTCGTCATCCCCATTGCACAGGTATAGAAATGGAGCTTGAAAAGTTTGGCACATGTCCAAAGTCACACAGAAGTAGCAGAAGCAGAATTCACAGAAGTTGATGTCTTCTTGGCCTGTCATCTGGGGAAAAATTAAAAGGAGATATAAGTAGAAGGAGATGAAATCAGTATAGATCAATCAGTGCAAAATATGATTAATTTGAGGACCTAATGTTTAAGTAATTTGACTCATGTTTATTTTCCTCTGATTTTTCTTATATACAGTATTTTAACGTATGAACTAGTATAAAGGAAATATTGTGTTTCTTTGGCTCATTCTGTCATTTCAGCGTGACCAAATGTTACTTGAAGATGTATTACCTGTACAAGAGGATGATTCTTTGATGTCTTCACATCCAATTGTTGTCACTGTGACAACCCCTGCTGAAATAACATCTGTTTTTGATGGAATATCCTACAGCAAGGTGGGGGAAATAGAGCATTGTTTTGAACGTCTTCCTGTTTGGTGACTTTTCTTTTAGTAGGTGCCTAAGAAAGGTAAGAATGACCACACTGTGCCAGTGGAGCTTCGGAAAAACAGTGTAGAACTTATTCTGAGTGCTGAATATTCGATAGTTTATGCTTTTTGGTGGAATTTAGTGCTGGTCTTGTCACAGGATTTTAAAAGAGATTTTTGAGAATTTCTCTTTACACATTTGTTTATAATTGTTTTCATTCTGATAGTTGAATATTTAGACTTTAAGCATCACATTTCAAATTGTTTGATTTTTTAAAAGACAATAAATCATTTTCTTCTATGTGGTCAACAAGAATTGCCACATATGTGCACAGCCTTTCTAGTATAACCTTTTAGTGCTTGCAACAAACATTTACATCCCACTCAGAAGGAAATATTTGTATTCCTTTTTAGAAGATGTAAAGATGACTTTGTTAGCATATTGTAGGTGAGGCTTTTTTCTCCATTAACATTTTATGAAAAGTTGCTGAAAATCTATAACTCCAAGATTTATGTGACACATTCTGTCCAATATTTCATACAGTCTCTCCTTCAAATATATCCCATATCTGTATGTAACATAATTTAAACTTTCATTTTAGTCATTTTCTACCTCAGCTTCTCATGGTTTCCCACTACACTGAGGTGCTTAAAGCTACTGCAAGCGAATACATTTTGTTATCCTGAGTGATACCTAAAGTTTTATTTGAGTCAAAAATATTATAACTATTAAAATGAATACTTGAGTGAAAACAACTTCCATGTATTAGTATTTGAAATTTGTAGCATCGTATTTTTTGACCTTCCTTCTCATATGATTCCCATAGTGTATGTTCATGCTTCTTGAATTCATTTTTTCTTTTACATTATGATTCTTTTTATATTTATATTAAAATGAAAATTTCAAGTCCACTTATAGCCTATTCTAATTATTCACATGGGAAAAATGTAAATTTATTGAATCATTTTTCCCCTTAGTCTTAGATACTTCTCGGGCTGAAGATATTATATCCAAGATACACAAATGTTTCTAGGACTTTAGCTTTCTAAATAGGTACAAAATTAATTTATAATGCTTAATAATTTACAGTAAATTATTTACTAACAAGTGGGGGGCAGTGTTTTCTTCATTCAGTTACTTGAAAATTGATTTAAAATATTATAAATTATGCATTTCAGTACTAATCTTATAACACATTAAAAAAAAGTACAGAGCCAAGGTCATCATTCTTCAGATGAAAGAAAAGCAAATAAGACCACTTTGAAGAGATTGTATGCCTAAACGATGTATCCATGTATATTAAGCTATTTGATTAGATAATTCCTTGTCTATGCACTTCCTTCTGCTAAAGCTAATTCTTATTTTCAAGTATGAAAACATGTTTAATAAGTTGACAGAATTTTACCCTGAAGCTACTTTCCTCATTCATCAAAGAACCTGGTTTTTTAGACTATTTCTCTTTCATTAAGAAAGCCCCATCTGCTGGTTTATTTGGGGAAGTGCAATAATTATTTGAATCTGAAGTCCCTGAAATGATGGCCGTTTTAGAAATTTCTCTTTACCTTTTAGTTATTTTTGAAGCATAGATACAAAGGCTGTGCTAAGTGGATTTTCATCCTAAAATCACAGAGCCATATAATTTGGTGGAATCATTTTGAGGAACTAATCTCACAAATATGATCATGAAACACTAGTTGCAATAGTAGTAATTGATAGTTGTTCCGTACATGGCCTTTATTAGTTTCATTTGTCATTTTTTCCCCATTGTAGGGAGCTTCCATTTTGAGAATGCTTGAAGACTGGATACAACCAGAGAATTTTCAAAAAGGATGTCAGGTATGATTTATTACTTTTAGTGATACCAAAAGTAAACTACACTGATACATGGCTGGTGAATCCTAAAATATGGATAATTTCCATTTTAATCCCTTTAGTCAGGCATAGATAATATAGCAAAAGATAAAAAGGTGATTTTACATCCAATTGAGTACCTACATGGTATCTGTAATGATCATTTAGCAGAAGTCTTATGGAGAAGTTGAAACAGATTACTTAGTTATTTTTGATACTCCTTACGTGTGCATTAGTCAGCTTGGGCTGCCATAAGGAAATACCATAGACTGGATGGCTTAAAGGACAGAAATGCAGTTTCTCACAGTTATGGAGGCTGGAAAGTCCAAGGTTCTGATCAATTTAGTTTCTGGTGAAGGCTCTCTTCCTGGCTTGCAGCTGGCTGACTTCTCACTGTGTGCTCACATAGGAGAAAAAGAAAGAAAGAGAGAGAGAGAGAGAGAGAAAGAGAGAGAGAGAGAGACAGCACAGCACACTCTGGTGTCTCTTTACTGGTTCCATCATAAAGGTACCAGCCTCATGATCTCATCTAAATGTGATACCTCCCAAAGGCTTCGTTTCTAAATACTATCATATTGGGGGTTAGGGCTTATATGGATTTTAGGGAATGCAATTATTTCCATAGCAACACGATATAAACATTAAAATCTATCTATAAAGGTCATCCTTATACTGAGTATAAGACTTTTCCCTTGTTACTAGATTAGAAAACATCAACATTGATATGCTTATTACAATGGAGTCAATGAATAAAGAGGCATACTTCCTTTTGGTAACAGAAATGACAATAAACTTTCTGAAGCATTTCACACATCCCACTTAAGCATATTACTCCAAGAGATGTTTCTGTTTCATTTTCGTTCTTCTCACAGACATGGCAGTTGTCCCAGGTTTGTTTTTATATTTAATTTTATTGAAGTAGCTGCAATGTGTCCTATAACTTCCCTCTCTGCAGGTTGACCCCATTCCAGCCTAGAAGTGAAGTTCTCTTCCTACTCTTTCCCTTCCACCTCCATCCTGCCTACTGTGATGACCTAGGTAGTCAGGCGGAGCAGTGCTGATGGTCTCCATCCCAGAGAGCAGAAAACAGGTCAGAGAAATGCCCCCTGCTGGCTGCCACGGAAAGTACTTCTTCTGGACGTGATTCCTCGGGAGTTCACCATTCCCATAGATGTCACTCCCACCTAGCCTTCTTATGTGGCACTTAACCCTCTCTACACTACTCTAAAAGAAAACGGCCCCCTTCTATCCAATAGTAAAACATCTAGGTGATTATTACAGTGAGAAATATTTGGGAAGTATATTAGTATATTTTAACCCTTTGTCTATTAGTAAAATATTTTGTAGAGATATTAGGTGTGAAGAGAAAATCTATATGCTTGTGCTTATGCATACATGAGAACATCTTGTAACTTTTCCATAGGCTTCAAACTTCAATTTTATCCTGTCTTCTCTCATTGTAAGCATTATTATTATTAAGACAGAATCTTGCTTTGTTGCCCAGGCTGGAGTGCAGTGGCATGATCTTGGCTCAGTGCAACCTCTGGCTACTGGGTTCAAGCGATTCTCATGTCTCAGTCTTCCAAGTAGCTGAGATAACAGACACCACCATGCCCAGTTAATTTTTGTATTTTTAGTAGAGGTGGGGTGTCGCCATGTTGCCCAGGCTGGTCTTGAACTCATGAGCTCAAGCAATCCACTCGCCTCGGCCTCCCAAAGTGCTGGGATTTACAGACATGAGCCACTGCACCCAGCCCATTGCAAGCATCTTTAATCAGGAATTCTGTGTTCTATATCTTTGCCTATACTGCAGGGCCTAGTTTCATTACACATATTAAGTCATCCTGAAAATGTTCATTAAACAAATAAATGAGAGAATAGTCTATAATAAATTATACAGAACATAGAAATAAAGAGAATTAATTTACAAAAATTAAGTTAAAATTTGATTTGTGCAGTTTGGTTCTAAATTAAATGGTAATTAATAAATAACATACTTTTCGCATCTTTGGAGCTGACTTCAAATTAAATAATCTTTCATATTAACTTTTATATGAAAGTACCAAAAGAGTCTTTCAAAGTGAATAGTTATCCTAATAATTCAATAAAACTGTTACATTTCCTTTAACCCAGTATCCATGTTATAATTTTTTAAAAACCAGTTTCGTCTAAAACTAGTAATTCTCAAGTTAAAAGTCTTCTTTCACCCTAACTATGATCACAGATGGTGCTAAAAACTGAACTGGGAAGAATTGATATTAATATTTCATACCATTATAGTGCTATGGAATGAATTTACACAAAAATACCCAAACATTCTTTTCCTTCAATCTTCGAACACTAGCTAATATCTGAAAGTAGTATATAATCGATATAGGCCACATCCAATAAACCTTTCAGTTGCAAATACTAACTTTCTGCCCGAAGTGACGCTCTCTTAGCTAACCTGGTGTGGCACTAAATCTGGAAGTAGCCAGTTGTCTATTCTCTTTCATGCTCATCACCTTGCCCCAGACCCAACCTCACACAGCAAAATAGGTGCAGGATGGGGGAAATAAGAGCAAAATTATCAACTGGAAAATCTTTAAGGGTATACTTGTTTATAAGAGATATAATAGAAAAAGGGTCATTCATAACAATATGTGGTCATGAAATAGAAACTGAGAAATACATCCTTCCTTTCTTTTTCTTCTAGTACCAGTGATATTGTTGATAAGATAGGAATGGCTCAGCTGGAAAACATCTTGTCCCTTCCTGGGACACAAGTAGCCGAAACATTGTTCCTTTCCTTTTGTGCTCACTGACTCCAACTGATGATGAACTATGACCTAAGTCTTCATGTAATTTTGACTTGAATAACTACATGATTATTCAAGGTGAAGAGGGAAGTATCTTCATATAGAATTAGTGCTTCAGAAGCACTAATCTAGACAATATAAAATTAGTACCTCTTAATATGCTGATTACATAAATGTCCATTCAGCCTCTGGTTCATGAGAAGCAAGAGACTGCAATTTCAAAAACAGTAACAATAACAACAGTGATGAAAACCACACACACTGACCCAGGATTCAGAATTCTCCTCATTGTAATCTCAGGCAAATCTCTCTACCTCTGAAGGGACCCAGGTAGTTAGGGGGAGCAGTTCCCTTCATCTCAAAATGTGGGAGCTCTATGAAATAGTATTTGAAGTCCCTTCTAGTTCCATAATTACATGTTCCTAAGCTCAAGACATTGTGAGTACTCAAACTTCCCTAAATTAATTTTAAAAGATCCTATTCAATAGAAATTGCCATTAAAATATAGCTATGGTTATAATTATTACTATACCAAGTATTCAATTTTTATTACTTAAAAAATATTAGACATTTGATGTACAAAATATTCAATTATTTTGTTAAGATATGATGAATGATTCGTGCAATTCTCTGTAATGAATACCCAAAAATGATAGTTTGCTGCTTCTCTGCTTCCTTTGCCTGCCCTCTGGTGGTAGTGCCAAGAAGTGAATTAACCAAAAGAACCAATATGGAGGCAGCATTCTAAAGTGGCTTCACCCCTCTTCCAGGCTTCTTGGAGTCCTACTAATACTGTTTTACCTCTATGCCTGAAAAGAAGAGGAATTTAGAAGATAACATGATCTAGGTACAGCACCCGCTGAAAATTATAGCAACTCAGAGTGAAAACGATATGTGCAAAGTTAACATTAAGAACACTGAAGATGGTTCCATTTCTATCAAAGACCTCCACTTTCATTCAGGACAATTCTAGAAAGCAACAGAGGAGTCATACAGCAGGAACTTTGGAAAGTTTACTGGCAAACCCCAAGTGGTTCCCAGTTACGGGATTAAAAGACTGGGATTTTTTTTTCTGGGGATAAATCACACTGTATTTAAAAACTCATATATAGAAAGAGGTTTTGTAAAGAAAATTGCCAAAGGGGAGAGGCTTCAATCTAGAAGACTTGTACTTTAAAATATTTGAAGAGTGAAGACTTACATCTTACAGTGAATAAGGTTCTCAATTCATCCACCACCACCATCATCATTATTATTATTCAAAAGGTTGTATACTTACTTCCTTAGAGCAGAGGTCAGCAGGCTACTGTCTGCAGGTCAAATTTAGCCCACCATCTCTCTCTATATTTTTAAGACCTATAGACTAAATATGGTTTCCATATTGTTAAATAGTCAAAAAATCAAAAGAAGAAGAATATTTTATGATACATAAACATTATATGGAATTCGAATATCAATGAGACAGCCATGCTCATTCATGTACATTCTGTCTATGGCTGGTTTTGTGCACTGGAGGTAGAATTGAGTGGTAGGGGTCTGGTTCATCTTGTGAAAGTATGAGAAAAGCAAACATTGACTTCTAACATACTTATCTTTTACACACAGATGTACTTGGAAAAATACGAATTCAAGAATGCAAAAACTGCTGATTTTTGGGCAGCACTAGAAGAGGTAAGCAAGAGTATATATCACCAAATAGTTCTTTGTCTGATTTACAAACGGCTTACCAATTATTTTCTAATCTTACTATTCTATTCTTTTATTTTCTTGTACTTGTTAATTAATTAATCTCCATTTCATTTCGAATCTTAGGCAAGTGGGCTACCAGTGAAAGAGGTAATGGACACCTGGACCAGACAGATGGGTTATCCTGTGCTTAATGTGAATGGTGTTAAGAATATTACACAGAAACGCTTTCTGTTGGATTCAAGAGCGAACCCTTCTCAGCCTCCTTCAGATCTGGGGTAAGGCTCTATAATGCGTTTGAAAAAAAAAAAAAAAAAAAGCAGAAATTTGGCAGAAATACTGGTCTTTCGTTTGTATCCTGTTCATGAGTACATGATGGATGAGTGATACATAAGTATGAAGGCACACTGCCGTTAGGGTAACAAGGGATTCAGAAATAGCCGAGTGATCTCCAGGTTTGAAATGGTGGGCAGAGCGCACACATCCATGTCCTGCTCTTCACAGATGCTGAAGAGAGGAATGGAAGTACTGAAAGAAACAAACCTACAAGAGTAAATAATATAAAGGGGAGGGGGAGTGTGCGTCACAGAATTCTGGAAGAAGAAAAGCAGAAGCAGAAATACAGACTGAGGAAAACACAACGAGATTATAATAAGGGAACTTCCCAATCCCTAGACGGATTGTAGGTTCAGTGTCAACATGAAGACTGAAGCGAAAAGAGTGAGAAGTGAGGCTGAAAACAGGGCACTGAACTGAAAGTCTAGACTCAGGACAATTGTGCCAGGTGCACCACCCCGCACGCCTACTTCCTCTCTGTCCCTACCATTTCTTTCTCTGTACGGCTCTCAGAAATCTGGCAATGACCCCAGGCAAAAATACAGTGGGCTTGTTTCCCAAAGAAATTGACTAGAACCGTAGAGGAGAGCTAAGGATTTCCATTTGGTTGAGACTCCCAGAGTAAAGCGTTCCTCATTATGGCCTTTGGAGGATGGGTGAGCTAGAGCTGACAGTACCCCTCATACATACGCAGAGCTCCCAGTCAGACCTTCTGCACAGCAGAGAAACCAATTTCAAAAATACAACTCCGTTTAGCCCGGGCAACATAGCAAGACTCCGTCTCTACAAAAACATTTTTAAAAGGCACTGGAGTATGGTAGTTCATGCATGTAGTCCTAGCTAGTCAGGAGACTGAGGTATGAAGATGACCTGAGTCATCTCAAGTCAGGAGTTTGAGGCTGCAGTGAGCCATGATCGCACCACCGCACTCCAGCCTAGGTGGCAGAGCAAGAGCTCATCCCTAAAAATAATAAAATAGAATAAAATAAATAAATTATATATATGTGTGTGTATATATGTATGTGTGTATATATGTGTGTGTATATATATACATATATACACATATGTGTTTGTGTATATATATGCACACACATATATACACATACACATATATACATACATATATACACACATATGTGTGTATATGTATATATACACACACATATATATACACACACATATGTGTATATATATACACACATATGTGTGTATATATATACACACACATATATATGCACACATATATATACACACACACATATATACACACACACACACATATATATATACACACACATATGTATCTCCCTTCTTAGTAATAAAGAGAATATATACCAGCCATCAATAATCAATTGAATTCATTCCCAAATATGAATGACAAAGATCACAAGATAGATGAAAAAAATCTGGAAGCATAAAAGGTTAAAATTTCATGTGAACAAACAAGCAAACAAACCCTGACTCTATAAGATCCATGTATGAGATATATTCAGAGATGAAGAATTATTACACCCATTAACTAGGAGCAGAATGTCTTAGAAAGGACAAATTGAGAACACAAAAGAACTCAGAAAGCTTAAATTTCTGATTGTCAAAAGAATTACTAGATCAACTAAAAATATATTTGGCAAATTCTCCAAAAACATAGGGCAAACACGCATAAAGCTGGCAAATATGAAAGAAGAGACAAATATGGAGAGTCTAGCACCCAACAGATAGGTGTCTTTTTTGGTCTGGTTTTTGAGATGGAGTCTTACTCTGTCACCCAGGCTGGAGTGCAGTGGCATGGAGTGCAGTGGCATGATGTCAGTCTACTGCAACCTCTGCCTCCTGGGTTCAAGTGATTCTCCTGCCTTAGCCTCCTGAGTAGCTGGGGTTACAGATGCATGCCACCACACCCAGCTCAGTTTTGTATTTTTAGTAAAGACAGGGTTTCACCATATTGACCAGGCTGATCTTGAACTCTTGACCTCAGGTGATCCATCCGCCTCAGCCTCCCAAAGTGCTGGGATTACAGGTGTGAGCCACCACGCCTGGCCTAGATAGGCATTCTTTTTTTTTTTTTTGAGATGGAATCTCCTCTGTCACCAGGCTGGAGTGCAGTGGCATGATCTCGGCTCACTGCAACCTCTGCTTTCCAGGTTCAAGTGATTCTCCTGCCTTAGCCTCTCAAGTAGCTGGGACTACAGGCATGCAGCCCCATGCCTAGTGAACTTTTGTATTTTTTTAGTAGAGACGGAGTTTCACCATTTTGACTAGAATAGTCTTGATCTCCTGACCTCATGATCCACCTGCCTCGGGCTTCCAAAATGCTGGGATTATAGGCAAGAGCCACTGCACCCAGCCAATAGGCATTCTTTAAAAGGAAGACAGAGAAACTTGAAGACAAATTATATCAAATAAATAATAGAAGAGACAAGGATTCTGATGAACAGACCCCACTTAGTACACAGTACAAAAAGGAAAAACCAAAAACCAAAAACATACATAGATACACCCTCACAAAATTTTAGAAAACAAAGACATAAGTTAGTGTGGTGCTAGACTTCTCCACATCAACCCTGAATGCAAGAAGCAAACGAGGCAATGCTTCCAAAGCATTAAAGCCAAAAATATTTTCAACCTCTAGTTCTATACCCAGTAAAATACAACCAAGTGTGAAAGTACAGTAAAGATATTTTCAGAAATGCAGCCTCAGAAAATGATTTCCACGTAATACTTCTTAGAAAGTTACTTAAGGCTGCACTTTAAGAGGGGTTGGAGGACAAAGAGACAGAAAGAAAAGAAGGCAGGATATAACTAAATTAAAATAATGAAAGAGATGGGACATGAGATCCAGGAAACGGTACATCCAGTCTAGGAAATCCATGAAAGGAAATGCTCAGGGTGCTACGGGAACCCGTAAGAGGATGACTGGGGCTGAGGTAAGTGTTCTCCAGGAAAAAGAGAACTTCTCTCCAGTAGGCAGTGTGGTTTGGAAGATGAAACAACTTGAGGATTTGGTGAAAGCCCTTCTGTTTGGTCAATTATAAAAAAGAAAATTAGAAAAGCCCAAATCAAAGTCTATATAAAAATTATGATCCAAAAATATTAAGCAGAGTTCTCACAAGATCTGACAGTTTCATAAGGCCATTTTCCCTGCTCTCTCTCACCCACCGCCATATAAGATGTGTCTCTTCTCCTTCTGCCATGATTGTAAGTTTTCTAAGGCCTCCCCAGTCATACAAAACTGTGAGTAAATCAAACCTCTCTTCTTTATATTAAAAAAAATAACAAAAATATGAAGCAGATAGAATGGTTTTATGCCATTGATACAGCATAAGAAAAGACTCTAATGTTGGAGAAATTTTACTTAAGCGGCTCAGGGGCCATGACATTGGACCACAGAGTAAGAAATAGAACTCCCCTCACGTCTTGACCAACACTATATACCATATACATACTATAATTTCATAAATATTGTGTATTGACTTTTAACTTTATAACCAGTCAATGGAAAATATAAACATTTTTGTTATGATGGCAGAATAAATTGCAAATATAAAGTCTTGATATTGTAATAAGAAAAAAACCCTGACAGAAGAGAGGACCTGGAAGAGGCAGAAAAGGCAGGAAGAAAGTCTTGGAGTGCTAATTCAGTGTTGTGCAGAAATGGCTGTCTTCCCAACTTAGTAACGTTTTCTTGTAAGTGACATGCTGGTAGCTTGAAAATGCTCGTGATGGGAGTATTACATGAAAATAAGCAAATACTATATTTTGCCCATCTGGGAACTGGATGTTAAACATTTACCAGTACTCCAGTAGATATCCTCACTTAAGTAAGGAGAGTAATTAAGACTAAAATTTATGAAGCAAGAAATGGTAGTGTGAGTATATTATTTAGAGGTGCAATCACAAACTATAGAAAATTGAAAAATAATTTTATTATGTTTTATGCTTAAAAGAGAAATGGAAGAGAAAGTAATATCTATAAACTCAATCACCCTCTTTCAATGGGCAAGTCAATAAATATTGTCTAAATAAAACAACAGAGGCATTTAAAGTATGATTAGACTACAAAAGCACCAAAACCAGATCACTTAATAGGGTGCTTCTGAGCGGGGTTGGCCTGTGGGAAGGGTAGGGAAGGAGATGGTTTTTCAACACTAGCTTTTTAAGTTTTTGATTAATGATGAATTTATCTACAAATTTCAGACATTAAATTCTCCTGAGCATTTAGACAGCACTTACAAACTTAATCAAGTCCTCTTAAGGATATATTACTTACAAGAAACTTATAAATGTAATCAAATTCTTCTAAACACCACTAGCTTAAATTTTACTGAATTCAAAATACAAACATCTAAACACCGAAAGAAGCAGATTTATAAATCTAATTAAAATTTTTTATGTGTTTTATGAATCCAACAAATTAAAACTCAAATTTAGTATATCCAATTTCTTGCACATTTTCAATATGTTAAAAATCAAACCCTTAACAGGATTTTTCTAGACATTTAAATATGGCTGCTGAGTTAAGATTTTCTAAGTACTTCAATTAAAACAATTCCACCATGTCATTTTCCCTAATTTGCCAAACTTATTTATTTTATTTATTTTCTGAGACAGGGTCTTGCTGTATCACACAGGCTGGCGTGCAGTGGTGTAATCATAGCTCACTGCAGCCTCAATCTCCTGAGCTCAAGTGATCTTCCCACCTCAGTCTCCCAAGTAACTGCGACTACAGGTGCTTAACCCCATGCCCAGCTAATTTTTAAAAAAAGTTTTATTAGAGAAAAGGTTGTTCAGTCTGGACTCAACCTCCTGAGCTCAAGAGATCCTCCTGCCTTGGTCTCCCAAAGTGTTAGGATTACAGGTGTGAACCACCTCACCTGACCTTGACTTTTAAAAAATGTTTGATATATTGTAAAAGCTGACAAAACATGCACAGCACAGCTGAGGA